AACAAAATATCTAAAAAGCTTATGATTGACGATGAAATAAGATGCTGGCTGCCGTATACTTTGTCCCAGGTTCTCGATCGTTTGATATCACAGAAACTTCACCATTCCCATTGTGAATAAATTTCAGATTAGATTGAATTTGGACGTTGCAATTGTGTTTATGGGTCCTTATGTTCTTGGAGCTATTAAATTAGGAAATTTTTTCGATTTCAACATATAAACTATCATGTGACTTCAGTATATAAACCAATGTTTCCCAAACTTTTTTCTGCCAGCGCCCCCTTGGACGACCTTTTGGCTAACAAACCCTCCCCCCCTGACTGAAAAGTAGAAATAAATTTATTCTCCATTTATCATTAGCCTAATTAGGTGGATGAACTTCGCGAAAGGCCGCCAGCACATCAATAGTCGGCTTCATTTTAGTCAAAATCAATCCTATGTTTCTCAAATATGTCAAATACGGTTCTTATTGCCATCTAGAATCGCGTTATGGCACTCGAGTATGAGCTGTGGGAGAATTTTTTTTTCTTTTTCATTTATCCCTCATGTGAGGATATTACAATTTGATTAGATTCAGAAGGGATAATATTAAACACTGGACTTTGGTTTCAGTTCAAAATCCCTTTGCAAAGTGATCATAATAAGAATTCCATGTATTGCCGAATGGGTCAATTTCCCACTCCGGAAACTCCGATTAAAATACACCGTAGAAACAAATTTCTATGTCAGTGTGTAATTCTTGAATATGCTACCTTACGCGATGCAAACGTAAAACTCGCATTCCAGGGTGAAGGGAGGCGCGAAAAACCATTGCTATCCTAACCTATTGTCTATCGAGCAACGACACCCGTCTGGCTGTTGTGAGGCAGTTTCCATTGAAGGCCGTCTTAATTCGGTGTGGTGTATTAAGAGCTTGAATGCTTCATCTTTTTTATTGCACAATTGTTTAAGTAAGCGGACCGTTATTTAATTTAGTGCCATTATCAGCTCAAAGGTACAGAAGGCGTTTTATAATCCAAAACAGCAACTAGAACTTACTTTGGTTGATGGTGGGTTAATAAATCTGAAAGCACATTGCTATTGGCTTTTTTAATTCGAAAAATGTAACATTTTTGTTTGATTAATCCGGATGATTTTGAAGCCTGCTGGGCGGCCTCATAGCTTCATTGGAAATCGTTTAGATGCATAAAAAATGCATTGATTACAAATCAGAGTTTTGGACTAAAATAGGTTCATATAATTGACAACTTCCATCATATTGCCTAAAATTTTTGGCTTTGGACAACGAGACATGCCAGACAACATAGAAGGGCTGTGGCGAATGAAGTAGTCCGGCAGATAAGGGGACCTTTTTGGCCCAAGTTTGATTTCAGACATAAAGTTTTTTTTATTTGTGATTATTCATCTTGGGGTCATTTCCCATCATTTCTACATGGGTGTGGAGTTTGCAACCTCGAGCAATTTTTTTACGGCTCAATATTTGTATTAGTGTTTTTCGTCAAACCTGTGCATCATAATGACGCACAACCTGAACCATAACCTGTTACAAATAATACTATGTTCAGGTTGTGCGCAATCTTGGTGCACAAACTACACAAGCACCAAATTTACTAGGAAATAAAATCAATAACTTTTAGGTAATTGTTGAGCCCAATTTTGGGTCGCGACCCATTACAGTATATGGAAATACTGTCGAAACATACGCGTAAAATAAAGAGTACTATTTCAAAATACACGTTTTTGTTGCAATTAACATTACAAGCCTGCTAATGCAGTCGCCTGTGGTTCAAGTGGATATACACCCGGTTGAGAACAGTCAATTATTTGTTAGCGAGAATTGTTATGCAGCGGGATAATCACGACGACGCAGTGAAAGATAATGTTATCACGAGAACAAGAATGAGAAAAATTGTTACATTTTATAGTATATCCCTGGGAAAGAATGTAGTTCATTCTTATGTTCCATGCCAATGCTTTTCAAACTACCAAAGACTCTCAACACTTTTGCTTCTTCTCTTCTATAAAAATACAATGTTATTATATATTCGCATTTCCATCTGTTTGTTCGTGCTCCCAGATAACCGATCAGCGGCCTCCAAGGAGGACGTGGTCCCTGTTTAAGAAACCCTGTCATAAACTAAAAGAGGCGACCGTGCTTCTCTTGCCTGTTGTCTTGCTGTCCCTGGAATTCAGCTACAACAAAAATTTCTCGAAAACGGATTTTTAAATTTTATGATTTTATTAGTATTCTCAACAATGAATGATATACGGGTGGTAAAATGCCAAGTTATTCCAACAATATGATCATGTTTTGCAATTTACAACCAATATTTTGTATGTAACTTTGTTTGACAGAGCCCCAAGAGCTCTAACTACAAATATCAAAAATGTGAGGCCAAAAAAGTCACACTACAACATTGCCAAATGTGCTGTATTTACGATAGAAAACAGGTTTACCAAAAAGAATTACATGAAAAATGGTAAAATAAAGATCAATTCAGCAATATCTACTTGGTGATATGCATCTGTTGATGATTTTATGTGTTTGTTTCGGAAGTTCAATAACAGAATTAATTGTGGTTGTTGGGGATGTTTTAAAAAAAGGTTGCATGGAAAAATGTTTCACAAAATGTCAAGGTTTGATAGTAGTAGAGAAGTAGAAAAAATACTCCCATATTTTTTTTTCATTTGATAACCACGCCACAGAACTTCCCCGATAAGTATACGCAGCAATTGCGAGAGGCAGATATGCCAAGATGGGATTTCATCGCATTGCAAACCAATATTAGCAATTCTTATATATATTCACGCATTCCATCTGAACACGTGGAAAAGATTATACCCATCTACACACTTTAAGAACTATGTCAGATGAGCGTCATATTATCGAATATCAGAAAAGGAATAGTGCAATGGGAGAAGACATATAAGGCGGAACTTTCAGTAGTATGCAATCAAATAATCTTATTGTAGAATATATATTTGAAAACATTTTGTCACGCCAACTGGCAGTCCGAAACTTTTTGTCTCTGACTGAGCTTAGATTGGCACTCATGTAAACTGGTAAGACTGAAGAGGCACGCGATGGAGCAGATACTAAGAGTATCCATCCCCCAGCTGTCATTTGAGTGGGTACTGCTGTTTTTATTGCAGATGTTACTGATCTTTTGTATTAAAGATTTACTGGCATCACCGATTAAGGATGTTGGAAACCATTCACGCAATATTACAAAATTTACTTTCAACACGCGGTTTGAATGAATGAAAAAGCTGAAACTAGTATTCCTTAGAACAGCATACAAATTCTGTGGAATGAAACCATACACAAAAGCTCGTCAAAAACCTATAGATCAATAATCAAGTGGAATTTGAATGCATGTGCGCAAAAATGCGTACAACCGAAGCACGCAGGAAATGTGTGTGATGTACTAGTATTCGAAACGTTTGACTCAACTATGTTGGCATAACAGGTGCACATCTCGGTTTCGCATACGCATACCTTCTATCTCCACAAGGATATATTAATTTGCCAAAGTCAATGCAGCACTGAAAGGTTGCGGTTCTTCCAAAAGAAACGTTACACATCTTTTAGATACCAGTGGATGGTTTTACATGGCCTTGTTCGGAGTGAAAGACGAGGTCAAATATTCCAATCCAATTCGACTAATAAATATTTCCCAAGTCCCTAAGCTTAAACTAGGAAAACGAAATGCGCGCGGCAACGCAAATGTAGTTTGAAGAGCGCAATAAAAAGTGGCTAGATGCTGTCGATGGATCTTGGCTTGTATTAGTGAAATAAACTACCATTTATTCTACTAAAATGAATTTCTGACATTTTAAGGAGATTCAATGTTTCTATGTACGCAAACACTAAACCATGTAGTTTTGAAATAATTGTTTTTAACAAAAAGGCGCTCCTGAAAGTATTTGTACCAAGATGGCGCACAAACTGAACATTGTATGTTTACCAGGTTAGGGTTCAGGATGTGCGTCATCTTGGACCGAATACTTTAAATCCACTTAAAAAATTTGCTCACATTATATACTCCACACCCACCTTGGTATTCTTATACTATGTCATATACATTATATCTAAACAATAAAAAAAAACTTTATGTCCCAAAACAATGTTAAGGCCCGATTCTGTCGGACCTAAAAGTGTCAATAAACGTAATCCAGACCCGTATTATAACGAAACAATCGATTAACAAAAATCATAATATTTGAGGTTAAACGAGCAATTCCAAACACCGAAATAGATGAGTAAACTAGATCGAACAAAAGATAAACTGGAATAGATAAAATGGTTAAATACTATTACATTTCATGTAAAGTGGCTATAGCTTCATGTAAGCCCGATTTGTTGCCAGCGCCCCCCAATTGCCCAATTCGCAGTCAGCGTCCCCACGGTTATCGCAAACGCCCACTTTGGGAACCGCTGATATAAACTATCATGTGACTTCAGCATAGTTAGTTTACAAACCACTCATAATTACTACGATCTAACTTCCCAAACACCAGGCCATCGTGAGAGCCAGTGGCTTTTTGATCTCGGGGCGCGGTCCGCTGTTGGGCCCGCCGGTAAAATTCTTGAAAAAAGTCTTTAAACTTGAAAAATCGACTTGATTAAAGAATGAATAACAGTGCGAAATTGAATGTCGACGCCCTTAAGCAATCCGGCACTGACGTTTATAAATGAATAAAATAGTGTAACAAATTACGAAACAAAACTGTCCCTTAATACATTTCTGGAATATTTACAAAACAAGTTTAACCGACAACCAAGACGTTTATAGCACAATGTATTAGTGCCTTCATTTTTATCATTTTCATTCTTTGTGACACAACAAGAAGTTTATTTTGATAGTGACGTCACCATGGCATTAAACGTAATAATCGAAGCACTGTGAAATTCTTAATTTGCTCACTGAAAGAAAATTCAGTCACAAGTTTTAGTTGCTGCGATCTTTCATTATGGAGCTCCCGTATCTCTGGAGCGAAAAATGGATATTCCTCCTGTGTCAGCACGTGCTCAATCTGCAGGTGAGCCATCATTTTCATAGGCTATTTGTTTCAAACAATAGCAGAATATTTTAAACCGAATGTTTTCCAATATATAACGTTAACCCATTACCGGTACCGTCTATGCATCCAAAATTTATAACTTGACGTTACTGGCTATAACCATTCTCAAACCCGACGTAGACTATAAGTAACAGGATCAGGGACTTTTGGGCCATGTTCACAACCCGCCGTTGCATTCCGTGTGAATCATCGTTAGTTGATTAAATATCAACAAGAAGACGAATTTCGGTGTAAATTAGTCATTACCCTCGGCAGTGTTGGCACTGATCCTTCGCATAATTGCTTATTCCGTTTGGGTTACCTGGTACCCGCCATATTATTTTTAAAGGGTACGGCGTTTAGTGAACTTGCGCCGGGCATTGGTTCAATATGTAATTATCTTATCGACTTCCCTCTCCAACGGTAATACAAAAATCAAATCCTATCGGACTGCAATAGTATTAAAAATTGACAGACTTCACCGAAGTTATATATATAACCAATAACTTGTGCTAAAATGTGCTGCTGGACAAAGCATGCACAATACGTGGACCGTTCACTATACGTAATTCTGCAAAAGATTGAAAATGGTACACGATGGATTAAGAATAACGTGATTGATTTAAAAACTTGAGAATGCAAAATAGTAACGTTCATTGTTTCGGTCTGAAAGTGTATTGTGGTCGGGTCCGTTGAATCCACCCCACTTGTTGTTCTCTCTTTTTGTGTTGTGAGTTGTGACCTAGTATCCCGACTGGCACTTCATATATAATCATGGAAATTCATTTCTACAATATTCAGGAGATTTTGTGTCAGTATGTAGCCAAATTTTGCTTGTCTATATATATGTATCGCAGAGTGTTTCACGAACATTGTGCACGCGCAAGTGAATTTTTGTATAAATTTGAGTTCTGCAACCCTGTATTAGGTTGGTCAATTCCAGAAAACACAAGTAGTGGTATGAGAACGTTGAAATATATGAATGATGAAGTCAAACCGCTTCGTAATTATATGCGAGAACGAAGATTTCAAGTAATTGCGTTCGCCAGCGGAAAACTAAATCGACCAAATAATTCTCGAAATTAGCTTTTGAAACTACTTCTCCACATGGTATTCTATTTAAGGTTGTCAAGCCGATCGTGGGTCTCATTTGCTCGTTGCGATAACCAAGGCGCTGGTAACACTGAAAACTAAAGATTCCAAGATTTTTTCAAGAGAGTAATTGCTTGTTAAAATCACGATTTGTCATTTATTACAGGCAAAGTCTCGGGATATTGTGTACAAAGCCCCCGCCACTAATGCAAGAATGTGAGATTTGAAAAAAACAACCCCGCGACGTTTTGGAATAACAAATTATTAATTATCCAGTTCGGGTTCGGGTTAGAAATGATTTAAAAATTTGAATTTCCAGTGCAATCTGCATTCCTAGCCGTCAACCTAACCCTAACTGGATAAGTGTGGATAAACTGGATAAAAAAAATTTTGTTTGAGCGTGGGGGTGTTTTTTTGTCGGGCACTTCGGACAGAAGATCCATGTTTCGACGTTGTTGAGGTATCACAAAAAATCTTTGCGGCCTTATATGCGTGTCCGATAGCGTGATGGAAACAGGGTGGTGGCCGCACGTTTTGTAGATTCTCTTTAGTCATGGATGAACAATATAACTTCTTCTGTTATTTCGAAACCCCAACGAGATATTTCACTAGCATATTTTTCTGTTGAAGGATCACCAAGTCCATTCATGAAAAATATCAAAGCTATTGCGGCGGTAACTACACTGATGAGTCTTGGTGTACTTGGAGCAGCAGCAGCTCTGTATTTTTCAGCTTCCTGTTAAAGGTGAGATCGACCTTTTTACATATCTTTACTGCAAGTACAACGTTTTCATTAATTTGTTTTTTCAATAAGTAGTACTTGCAAATTCAGGTGTAGGCTACTTTAAACCGTCTCACCAATAGCCAATTTGATTACAGATTTCGCTGCTATTGATATATACAATAATTATAAATAGCCTTGCATTAATATAGATTGTGATACTGTCTTCGATCGAGACCAATATAATAATGTTCATAATTTTTAGATAAGTAATGAGTAACGACAAATCCAAAAAATCCAAAAAGATAAACCCCCAAAGTCGTCGAAAAACGCCGAAAAATACGAAATTAAATCGGAGAAAAAGAAAAGTCAAAAGAAAAATCTTTGAAAGAAAAATCCACAAAGAAAAAACCTTCGAATAACAAATCCAAACAACGTAAAAACAAAGACGCTGATGATGATGATATTTCCGAAAATTCAGACAAAAACAGCTCCAATGGTAATTTCCTATCGAAAATATGTTATTCATATCTCAGGTCATCACATGTATGCCCCTTTCCCCGACCTTTGACCCCCAAAAATTCTTTCTATACTTCACCATTGCAAAATTTTCGGGGCTATTTTAGGATTGCTTTTGCGAGTTGACGCCTGTAAAATGGGGTATGTGTTTCAAACCATCATTATGATTCATCGCATACAACAATCTGTTTTTTTAAAAGTACCCGTAAAGAATTTTAGCCTAGTCTATCACAGCTATTTCTACACTGATTTTTTTATTACTGCAATTAAATTAAAACTCCTAGGAAGACAGAGTGATCATTGAATTATCCGATTTATATTTAAGTTTCCGAAATACAACTGAAAACTAACGAATTAAGTTCAAAAACGCGAAAACGAGGAGAAAGGTCCATAGCTAGAGAATAGAGGCAGCACTAATTACTTGTGTATTTGTCCCGGGCATTAAAAAAACAAGGTTAATAAAATAGAAACACGGCATAAAAATGATAAAAAGGAAGGATGTAAATAGACATATATATATATATATATATAAGTTAACGTAATCTGTACGTACTATATTTTTTTCATTTCAGGTTCACCTCTACCAGACATTAAAGTTTTTATTGCAATCGTTGTAGGAATAAACTCCGTTATATTGATAATAGCAGTCTCTTTTAGCGATGTGGGCTACGACTTCTTGTGAGCCAGGTAAGACCATCATCATGGTACAAAACTTCAGCACGAGGTGCATACCGCTGTACATACCGTATATGTATAGTTAATTGTGCAGATTCCGTATCATTATCACAGCGTTTCTCTTTCTATCGAGATGGAAAGAGGACGTCTAATACTTGAATAATAAAGTTATACAAATTATTAGGCTAAATGCCTAAGAATCTTATGCTTATATAAGGTTAACCATAACTTTCAGTGGTTTGATGCTTTAATCTTGCTTTCCAAGTAATTTGAATGTTTTTATTCAAATCGGAAAGTTTTTAATTGTGTTTTTTACTATTTATGTTCATTTATCATGTTTCTCGTTATGAACAACAGGAACAACCACTCAAACCGGAGGTATTGACCAACAAAATCTTGGTCCTGGTGGTAGCTCAGGTACGTACTTGGAAATTTCCGATAAGATTGCTCGTATAATCTGCTCTTAACGCGATGTTTCGATATTTAAAATAAAAAATAATGGAATTTATTGTTGGCCGTCGCAGGGATATCGTTATCTTAGCTATATTTGGGACAACCTATGAATTTAAGCAGCAGAAATGTTATTCACTTACATTGGCCAACATATTAGATCAAATTAAGATTTCAATAATCCAGAAGTATACAGTTAGCACTAGCTATCAAACATTTGAAAAATGTCCTCAAAAATTAAATTGACTTGACGGAGACACCATTGAAAATATAAATAAATTCTTTTTTTTTTCAATTGAGAGTATTGTCAAAAACTCTCCGATACCGAAGCATGCGTATCTTTCTTATTGATTTCAAATATTCTATTTGAAATTGTTCTCAAAACATTTGTAGGATCATTTACTGGTGGTTCGCCGTCTCCTGTAGGTGGTTTTCCATCTCCTGGAGGTGGTTTTCCATCTCCTGGAGGTGGTTTCCATCTCCCGGAGTGGTTTTCCATCTCCTGGAGGTGGTTACAGACCTCCCAGTGGCATAGGAGATTCTTCCGGTTCACAAACTCCTGGTGTTGGTGGCACTAATACAGACGGATCTGGTGGTTTGTATATTTTAAATTTATCTCATTTTTCAGTACTTTAAGGTTTAAGCACTCTTGTTTTTCTAGTTGATAAATAATAATCACGTTTTACCTCCTGTTTTTTTTTATCTTGACAAAAAATTTGTGCACGACTTGAAAATTGGTTTCTACTAATCCAGTAAGGCCTCTGGTCAGGAAAACAAGTCGTGGTATATATCGTATTTTCGATGGTTGCATAGATCTATGCGTAGTTGTAAACTGTTATTGTAAATTCGAAAAACTTCACAATCCAAGTGCGTATACGATCAGTATAGTAACTATTTTCACCTTAATCGCCGGTCGGATGAGTTTTTCAAATTAGTTTACATTTGGCAGTAACCGACTTGTGATCACGTTTTTGACAGCTAGAATTCCGTTAATCATTATTGAGTTTGATTATTTGTGCAGCTTCGATTCTCAATAGAGTGAAAATTATGGAAAGGTTAAAAATATTGTGGTTGATTTGTGTGGAAAATAGGAAAATTGATTATAATTTCGAATCTAATAAAAATGTCCGTTTTAGAACCTCATTGGATGTTGCACACCTTCGTTTCGCACAAAAATGTAACGATTTGTCATGCACTTGGCGGTGCCCCGCTGACTTAGCCCTGTAACCCCGATTATCATACGCGCGGTTATGATCTTCCGCCATCAAGTCGAATGCACCTGAAACGAATACCTGGTTAACTATTCTCGTAATCGACGTGGACTCTTAAACGAACGAGGGATTATAATTCGCCATGTGATTGAATCGCCTTATCGGCGATCCTGTCCGCGGCGATAAATAAAAAAAATTCCGGATTCTATCCATATGTACAAATATCTTAAATTTGGAGGTGGTATATTTTTAGTAACTTTTTTCTGGATAATGTAACAAAAGTATTATCACCAAAATTATTTTTTTTAGGATCGTATCCTGGTTCATCGCCGTCAGGATCATCACAAGAAAGTTTTGGAGGGTCGTCTGGTTCACAAATTCCTGATTCAGGAGGAGAATCACATGTCAGTGGTGGAGAACCATCTTCAAATCTCCCACCACCAACACCTGTCAGTGTGGGGAATCATCTTCACGGCCCCCACAACCAACACTCCCTCCTCCCACCGGTGAGATGAAATATATCTTCATAAGTTGTGTTATCGTTGGGTCTTGTCGAGGTGACAGTATACGCTTTAATGCAAAATATCTTCCAGTATTCTGTCGAATCTTGTCTGTTAAATCGATTGTAATAGTATCTTGTTAAAGCCGTCAAGCCCATGTGACTTTGAATCAAATATATATGGTTAAAAGCAACATCCTTTGTCCTGTAAGTTAGTTTCTTACTAATTCTCTTAAACTATCCCTATTTTGTCGCCAGTATCACTGTCCAAGATATTCAGCGAGTGTTGTGCCCATCTTTCCCTGATATTGCCAGACGTCCTCAGCTAACCTCGAGATCTAGTGCTTTCTCAAAATTTACGACAAATAAAAACCAAACTAAGTAAAAATTTACATACTAAACAGAAAATGTTGTTATTGGTTACAATACTATATATTATTATTTTGAATCATAGCGATTTCAATTCCTACAGGCATTTAAACAGTATACTTTTTGTCACATTCCAGCATCACAAATCGTTCTGTCGGAATTCGACCAAATAGATAATCCAAACTTTGAATGCGGCGTGCCGACAATAGAACCTGATTTACAAAAGGGCAGAATCGTCG